AAAATGTTTGACGTTGATAAATGTTTCCTAATTTCTTTTCCCCTTTTTTTGTTATAATTAATTAATTAATTAATTATTTTTTTCAAAAAATTTGTTTAATCGATGAATACTAATAATAATAATAATAATAACTTCCGCCCGTATTTATTTATTTATTGATTTTTTGGGAATTAGTTTGTGATTTATAAACGGTCAAACGAATGTTAAAAAAAAAAAAACGAAAAAATGAAAGAAATCATGCATGAGCACAATTATTAATTATTATTATTATTATTATTATTATCATTATTATCATTACTTTTTCTGTTGACGGATTTTGAATTTTAAAAAATGTTAAAACATCCGTTTTAAATTTTTAATAGTTTTTTTATGTAATGTAATGAAATTCTCAAAAGTTTGCGGCAACGTTGTTGTTGTTGTTTTTGTTGTTTTATGACTTTTTATCAAGACTGATAAGTTTCTGTCGGTGTTTTTGTTTGTTTGTTGTTGTTTTGCTGTCGTCATCATCGATCGTTTCATATTTCTTTGCCATTTTGCGGTTTCATATGTTTTTTCTTTCCAAAACACCGACACGACACGTTTTCCATTTGTTTGTTCTCCTTTTTTTTTTTTTTTCATCGACGATATTATTATTATCCGACATGTTTTTGAATGTCTGACGTAACGCAAAATAATCAAAAAAAATTTTTTTTTTAAAAACAAAATGGCGCGCGTAAATTTTTTAAAGAGAAAGAGAGAGAAAAAATGAAAAAGTTTTTTTAATGTTAAAAACTGACGGTTGTTTATAATTAATTAAATTTTTTGTTTTTATTTCAAAATTAACGCGTCGTCGTCTGCTAAAAGGTTGAAAAAAAAAAAATACACAGAAAACCGGTTTACGATCCTTAATGTAATTAAAACATTAAAAAAAGAAAAAAAAGGTCCAAAAAAATTTTTCTTTCATAAATTTAAATTAGCCTTTAGTTAGTTGAAAAAAAAATTTTTTTAGTTTCCGTCATAAAAAAATTTTTTTTTCAAACTTTTAAAAATACAGAATAAAAAAAAAAATTGACGCGTAAATTTAAAAAAAAGAAAAAATAATAATAATAAAATTAATTTAATTTTCCTTTTTTCTTTTTTGTTTTCAGATATCAAAAAAAAAAAAAAAAAATGTTTTATTTAACGACTTCGTATCATCAATAATAATAATAATAAGAAATTTCAAAGAAAAAAAACAAAATGGCGGAAACAAATTTAACGGATCTTATGAGAAAAGAAACATTAAATAATAATAATAATACGTCTGCTTATTGCAATTTAACACAATTCAGTTCTGCTTACGGTCAGGTAAGAGAAAATATTTATTTATTCTATCGGAAAAAAAGCAGAAGAAAACGAAAAGAAAAAAAAAAATTTTATAATCTAATGCCACGTTAAATTTTTAATTAAATATGTATGTGTGTGCGTGTGTGTGTGTTTATACGCGTATACGAACGAGTTAAAAAAAAATTTTTTTTCTTTTTATTTTCCACCATAGTGTGAAAAATTTTCTTTCCTTTTTTTTCTTATAAAAAAATTATTAAATTGTGATCACGTGATTGATGAATAAAGTTTTTCCTTTTTTTTTTTTTTTTTTTTTTTTTTTTAAATTTCTTTCCAGATTTCTTTTTTTTTTGTAAAACATTTTCCCCCCTTTTTTTTTAAATTCGTTTAAAACTACAGCAATAATTTTCCGGAAAAAGAAAAAAAGTTTTTTTTTTTTCATTTACACGTATGAATAACATTTAATTACCGAATGAATGAATGAATGAATGAATGAATGGATGAGTGAATGAATCAAATTAACTTGGCGTCTTATTTTTTTTTTTTTTTTTGATAACAATAAAATGATAAAAATCTTTTTTTTCTGTAGGAAATGAAAGTGATCAGAAAAAAAAATTTTTTTTATCGTGAAAAGCATAAAAATTTTCTTTTTTTTTTTTTTCTCCCGAACTTAAAATTTTATTATCGTTGTAATCTTTTAAATGATTTTTTTTTTTTTTTTTGGAAAACTCCCGAAAGAGGAGAGAAAAAAGAAAAAGAAAAGTCATTAACGTGTCTCTTATATTTTTGGTATTTTTGGTCGATTTAATCTTTTTTTTTTTTTTTTTGATATCTTAATCTAAATTACAAACTTGTTATTGAACGGATAAAAAAAAAAAAGGTTTTAAAAAAGGTTTTGTCGGGGTTTTGAAAATGGGAAGGAGGAGGTGGGAGGTGGGAAGTGGGAGGAGGAGAAAGAGACGAAAGACATTTTTTTTTTGTCGAATAAGGTTTTTTTTTTTTTTTTTGTTTTCGATAAACTCTTTTAATTCTTTTCATTAAATTTACGTATTAAGTTTTTTCCTTTTTTTTTTCATTTTCTCTTCTTGTTAAAATAATAATAATAGTAATAATAATAATAATATGTCGAATCTTTTGTTTTTTTAAAAGCATTATTATTGTTATTATTATATGTTAAAATTTTCTCATTGCATTTTTGATTTACAGAAAAAAGAAAAAAAAAAAGTTTTTAATCTAAATTATTTTTCTCTCTCCCCCTTTCTCTCTCCCTCTCTCGCCCCCCTTTCTCCTCTTTCCCTCTTGCTGTCACCCTCTCTCGCCATCTCTTTCTTCCTCTTTTCCTCTTTCCCTCTCTCTCTTTCTCTTTCTCTCATTCTCTCGTCACTCTTTCTCTTTTTCTCTCTCTCTCTTTCTCTCCCTCTCTCGTTTCTCTTTCTTTCTCTCTATTTCACTCCTCTTTCTTCCTCTTTCCCCCCCTCTCTCCCTCTTTCTTATTTTCACTTTCACTTTTACTTTCACTTCTTATTACATAACAACCTCGTCTCTTTCTTAATTTCTTTTGTTTTAAATTTTTTTTCTTTATTTTTTTTTGCGGTTTTATTTTATGATAAGTAAGTATGATCGTTGCCGGAGGACATTTTAAAATTTCTTTTTCTTTTCTTCTTCCCTTCTTTTTTTTTTTTTTTTTTTCAATTAACTTAAATGAGTATCTCAAGCATAAGCAGAAGAAAAATGTTTTTTCTTAAACATATTTCAAATGAGCCTTTTCCCTTTGCCCCCTCTTTTTCATCTTAATAATAATAATGAATATTTTAATTTTTACTTTTATTATCATTATCATTTATTAAAAATTTATCATTATTATTATTATTATTATTATTATTATTATTATTATTATTATTATTATTATTATTATTATAAAAAATGGTTTTCTCATCGATCGCCAACATGAAAATAGATAAATTTAAAAAAAGAAAAAAGTAATAAATTTTTATTTAAAAAAATCGTTTTTGATGGATAACAAACGAAAAAAAAATTTTTTTCTTTCTAACCATTTATTATCATTATTATTATTATTATTTTCGTACAAATTCGAGAAAAATCTTTGTTCGACAGACAGGTGGAATAAAAAAAAAAAAAGAAAAAAAAATTACCTGACAATTTCCCAACGCCCCCATTTTTTTTTTATTCTTTTGCAATTTAACATTTATTCTTCCCCCCCAAAAAAAACAGAAAGAAAATGTATAAAAGAAGCATCGAATCAAATAATGATGATGATGATAATAATCGTTAGTAGAATTAAAATGTTTTTCATTTTCGTTTTTTTTTTTTTAATGGAAAAACTTTTCATTAGGTTTTTCAATTTTTCCAAAAAACTAATAATTTGTTAACAAAATAAAAAAAAAAATTTTATTTATTTATTTTTTTTTCCTAAAGAAAAAAAACTTTTTTTTTTTTTTTTTTAATAGAAAAATTTTAATTTTTTTATGTTTAACTTTTTATTTTTTTTTGACTTTATATATATTACTTTTTTGATAAAAAAATTTTTCCCCTACCCTTCACTCCCCTACCCACCACCCACTCCCGCCCCCCAAAAAAAAAAACTTTTTTTCGCCTAAAAAAAATTTTTTTCCGAAAAAAAAAAAAAAAAATAAGCCTAAGTATTGATTTTTTTTTGTTTCTGTAGTTTTTAAGAAGAAGATGATGAAAAAAAATGAAAGAAATTATTATTATTATTATTATTATTATTATTATTTTTTTTTTTTTTTAAATG